AGAGAACAATCATTGAGAAAGAAGGGCTGCCTATGCACAGGGAGACAGCTTAGGGGGCAGGAGTCCATGAAGGGATGGACACTGGGAAGAGGTAACTATGAAGAGGAAGTGGGAGTGGAGCTGTTGCATTGTAATAAACTGTGGTCAATGTCATGAGACAAAGTATATGTAAACTGCTGTATGGAAAGTGAATTTGCTCTGTAAATCTTCACCCAAATCAGAATTAAAAAAAAAAAAAAAAAGAACTACATTACTTTTCCAGCCTAGGGCATCATGATCCACTTAACCCTCTGCTTATAATATAAACACAAAGAACCATTTAGAAGAATCACCTTGTTAGTGGTTACTAACATTATTAACATGACATCTTAACATATTCATTCAATAAATTTGACTCTTTTTTTGGTTTGGGTAAAAGTTTACAGAACAAGTTAGTTTTTCCATCATTCAACAATTTATACACATTTTGCTTTGTGACATTTGTGCCAATCCTCTCAATGTAACAGCACTCTTCCCACTTTCTCACCGGGTTCCCCATTTCTGTTTGTCCGTCTTTCCTGCCCCTTCCTGCCTTCTGAACTTTGTTTTTGGGCAAATACTTCCCTTTCGGTGTCCTATGGTTGATCTGAGGAGCATATTCCTCACAGATACTGTTCACTTTATAGGTCTATTGTTTGACTAAAAGGTGATCCCTGGGAGTGAGTTTAGTTCCAGGTTTCATGGATATCTAAGGGCCATACTCTTGAGTGTTCCACCATAAATGGACTCTTAAAGAAGACAATATTCAGAAAAAGTTCAGATCATTCAGAATTCTGCAGGAGAAGTGAGTGAGGTGAGGCAGAGTGACTGACTGGCCGCGACACTGGCCCCACAAGTACACATGCCCACTCTGGGTCTTGGCAGCAGAGGTGTGGGCAGAATGACAGGCTGCAATCTCTACTATCCTGAAAAGTTTAAAAGAAACACATGTCACTTCTTTACCACAGAAACCTACAGTACACCATCCAACGGAATCAAAAAGTTCATGCTCAGAACACCTCAAAAAACAGCTCAATTTCCAAGAATGTATAACACTCTTTTCTGATGCCCCTCCAAAATAAAAGTACTTGAGAGTGATTGAAAGAAAAAGAAAGCAGTCATTAAAAAAAAAAAAAACCTCACTGCCATCGAGTCGATTATAACTTATAGCGACCCCCATTGGATTTCCAAGGTGGTAAATCTTTACAGAAGTAGATTGCCCCATCTTCCTTTTGTGGAGCAGCTGGTGGGTTCGAACTGCCAACCTCTGGTTAGCAGTCAAATGCCTTAGGGCTCCCTTGTTTTTCAAGGTGACTAGTTGACCCTGCTTTCGAGAAAAAGAAAGCAAGGTCAACTAGTTACCTTAAAAATCACAAGTCCTTCACTTTTTTTTGAAAGTTCATCTTCATTATTATTATATTGAACTATACAATAAATTCAGTAAAGTAAAAGCCTTAGGTGGGGGAGAAATAATAATCCCATGAAAATATTCTGTAATAAATGAATAAAACTATTATGCAAATTTAATTTGGGGAAAAGTATTAAATTTAGTAGAGAATTAAACATTCTAGAACTTAAAAGAGCCACTACCAGCAAATACACAGGAAAACTTGATAGCCTTACTCTCTCCAGGTGGAAGTAGTCCCAAGCTTCCTTACCTACAGACAGAAGACGCCATGAGACAGCAGGTGTGGCAAAACAGGCAAAGACATCATCTGTGCAGGAGAAGTGAGTGAGGTGAGGCAGAGTGACTGACTGGCCGCGACACTGGCCCCACATGTACACGTGCCCACTCTGGGTCTTGGCAGCAGAGGTATGGGCAGAATGACAGGCTGCAATCTCTACTACCCTGAAAAGTTTAAAAGAAACACATGTCACTTCTTTACCACAGAAACCTACGGTACACCACCCAACGGAATCAAAAAGTTCATGCTCAGAACACCTCAAAAAACAGCTCAAGTTCCAGGAATATTTAGCTGCCAAGTGATACTGAGAAAACCAAAAGGTGAGAGCAAGAGCTCTGGGTTCCTCCCTTCCAGACTGCCTGCAGTAATGCAGATAGTAGCTTGGGAGAACATTTACTGTGAAGAGAACACTTATTTTACACTTTATACTAACTCTGCCCAATTACACTAACAAATATTAATAGTATAATATTAGTTATACCTTGCTTCCACATAGATTAACCACATAGACCAGGGCAGGAATAACTCACAGATAGAATGGCTACTTTTTTTTTTTCTTTCTAATTTTTATTGTGATTTGGGTGAAAGTTTACAGAGAAAATTCATTTTCCATACAGCAGCTCACATATACTTTGTCTCATAACACTGACTGCAATTTCCCACAATGCAACAGCTCTCTTCCCACTTGCTCCCCATAGTCACTGCTTCTCTCTTCTTCTCTCTCATGCACTCCTGCACCCTGAGCTGTCTCCCTGTGCATACACAGCCCTTCCATTCTCCCATGATTGATCTCTCCAAGGAGTATACCTACTTAATGTCAAAGTTCAGCTCATATGCCTATCTTTGTTTGGCTGGAAGCCACAGGAGTGGGTTCAACTTGACCTGAAGGGCAACTAGGGGCCATAGACTCAGGGGTTCCACCAGGCTCTATCAGACCAGGAAGCCTGGTCTCCCCACCGCCCATGAATAATTCTGAGATTTGTTCCACATTGTTCTCCCACTCTATCTAGGATCTCCTACATAAATCCCCCTCCAAGTGGTTGATGGCGGTAGCTGGGCACCATCTAGTTCTTTTGGTCTCATAGTCATATAGGCTGAGGATCACATGGTATACCAGTCCCTTGGACTAATTGTTTCCATGAATCTTTGGTTTTCTTCATTCTTCTTTGCTCTGGACGAGTAGAGACCCACAGTTGCACCTAGATGGCTGCTTGCAAGCTTTTAAGATCCCAGTCACTACTGACCAAAGTAGAATGTGGAACAATGTTTTTGTGTAGTGTGTTACGCCAACTGAGCTTGATGTCCCCTGTCATCATGGTCCTGAGCCCACAGGTCCAACTACTTGCTCCTTCTGATAGCTGGCTGTGGCCAAGAAGTGACTACAACCTTGTCCCTTGTCAGCTCTATTATATACCTGGGGATTCTTACAGAACATACCAATACACTTGTAGAAACATTGTCTACCAACCCTATACATGGTCATGGGCACACTCCCCCCTGCACAGACATACCTAATAGTTCAGCCTGTCCACCCATCTATCTACCCATGTATCAATGTTTGCCATCACTGACAATGCAGCACTGTATGTGCAAAAGAGTTCATCTTTGTTGTCTGTACCTCCCATGCACCTCTCTCTGTCTTCCTCTTCCTCAATGCCACTGTGTTGATCACTCACATTTGGTACACTGCCCTTCCCTTCACCCAGATCAATACTTGTCTCTACCTATCTAGCAGTGTCCCTCCCCTCCTCTCCCACACCTGGTAACCAACAAAGAAAATTTCCTTCCTTTCCTTGACTTTTTACAATAACAGACTAATACAATATATGTCCTTCTGTGATTGACTTATTTCACTGAGCATAACGTCCTCCAAGTTCATCCACATTATGCAGTGTTTTGCAGATTCTACATTATTCTTTAGGGTTGCATAGTATTCCATTGTGCATATGTACCATAGTTTGGTGATTCATTCTTCTGTTGGTGGGCACCTAGGTTGTTTCCATCTTTTTGCTACTGTAAATAGTGCTACAATGAACATGGGTGTGCATATATCTGTTCTTGTCCTGGTTCTCACTAGAATGACCGCATTCTTAAGATCATGGGACCATAAAGGAACAAAACTTAGATGGCACTTCCTAATTATGTAGGAATTTTTAGGATATTTTTCAGCTTGCTTCCTATGGTCCACAATAACTGGCTCTTAAGCCTGTGCACTTTGCCTAATAAATCAAAGACAATGGATCTAAGAAGGGAACTAAGGCAAAACCCAACATCCACCTTGAAGACCATAGACCTCATTCACATACCTGAAGGAAGCTGAGGTTTGTTGCAAGAATATCGTTGTCTTGCTGCCAAAATGGTCAGGGCCTTATGAGTAACCTGTCTGTGTAAGACCTCTGAAATTACAAACCCTACAGCCCTAAAATCATTATAAAAATCCTGAGTCTGTACGGCTTAGGGAGACACACTTTGCGTTGCTTCTGGCCCTGTGTGCTTCCACCTTGGAACATTACTATCGTCTTATTAAATTTCTCTCTGAACTGCAACTGATGTTCTAGTTATTATTTCAGAGTTCAATCAGCAACATGCCCACATGCTGTCCTAACCTCATTCTGACTTAGATATCACACATGCTGTTGAGGAAAACTTGGGGAAAAGGGCATGAAAACCACAGTAACTGAGTAAAGTGGACACTGACAAAATGTCCTAACAGTTTTGGGGGCTTATTGTTGTTGTTAGCTGCCATCAAGATAGCCCTTCCAACTCATGGCAACCACACGCACAACAGGATCAATTGCTGTGATCGACAGGGTTTTCAAGGGCTTCTTTTTCAGAAGTAGACTGTTTAGTTAGTAACAAAAAATACTGCTTCCAATATACCATCTGATTATAAACACAACTTTTTTCCTCATTCCCTACCAGAGCTCAAAAGAGCTCACATAGATGATAAGCACTAGTCAGGTGGTCATAGACTCTAAGCATTCTAATCCAAGTAGACATCAAGGCGCTTATAGCTTCTCAAGTATGCTTCTTGGCAGGGTCCCAGAATTTTAAGTCAACACTCTAAGACTTAGTGGGTGAGACTTCACAATTTGGTTGAACTTTAAACATCTATTCTAGTAACACACATTAAATCACATCAACATTTAAAAAGGTAGAGTCCTTTTAAGAACATATTTTATTTATTTAGAAGAAGCTTTAGGTGGTGCAAAGGCGCCCTTAGCGGCTTAGTGGTTAAAGGCTCAGCCACTAACCTAAAGGTAAATGGTTCAAACCCACTAGCTGCTCTGTGGGAAAAAGATGAGGCAGTCTGCTTCCATAAAGACAGTAACAGTCTTAGAAAGCCTACGGGGCAGTTCTACTCTGTTCCATAAGGTTGCTATGAGTCAGAATTGACTCATGGCAATAGGCTTAGTTTTTGGTTTTGGTTCAAAGGAAAATTCATACTACATTTTGAATTTCAACAGGATCAGAGACCCTATTTTACTTCCCCACTAAATGGACAACAAAAAGTTTTTTAGGAATTATGTCAAGATGCATTAATACCTATCAATCACAGCTGCTTCTTTTAGAACAGTGCATAAGAATCCTATCAACATCAAGTTTATTCTGACTGGTTCTTAAACTTTTTTGTTCAAAATAAGAAATGTGTCAACAGAAGCATCACGGAGCAGCCAAACTCCATAGCTCTAGCACATGTCCACAGCGCACATGCAGTCCCACAACACGTTGCAGCCCAGTTACCTTTCTTTCTCCACTGTGACGTGTGCTGGGCTTAGTAGGTTATTTTTATTGCCAGTTCCCAGCTGCCCATACGTGTTAGCTCCCCAGGCATAGAGCAAGCCCTCATCTGTTAGTGCTAGAGTGTGTGCATAGCCGCAGACAATCTGCAAGTAAATTTAAATGGTTACCATAGACAGGAAAACAGGAAGGATAAGAAATCATCTACTTACAAACTACTGCCAGCTTCTGCAGAATGTCATTTCATCACTGGGCATGGACTGACATTTTCTGGTATATTAAATAAACACACGAAAAGACTAAACCTTAGCACTACTGGATGTTTCCATAGTTTAACTGACTTGTCAAGACTGCTGTTCCAGCACCATGGTCTTTCTCATCAGGGGGGGACTTAGGGAAGACAGTATATTAAATGTGGAAGGTAAAGGCACAAGGTACTGCCCAAAAATATTTATGGAAGAGTAGTATTTTTCTAATCTGAGTCAGAGCAGGTTAGATCAATGGGGACCAGCCAGCCAAGAGGTGGTCACACTTACCTGATTCACACACACATTATGCAAAGCTGCTACTCTCACTGGGGTCAGCTGATTGCCGTTGTTTCCCAGGCCCAGCTGACCATTGCCATTGTAACCCCAGCCATACACCTTAAAGAGGAGAGAAAGGGAGGGAACAGGCTTTTTACCTACCAGTAAAAGGGAAGAGATAAATGCAGTCTATTATATCAAATCAGATATTTTCTCCACTCTCAACACTCATTCTATTCTGTGTGCTACTACAACTGATCTCCAAATAGAAGATATTTTGAGGAAGAAAATTACAGACTTTGGCATCAGTTCGTACTCTGTAACTCACTAGTTGGATATACAAGTTGGATAGCCTTGGGCAAATCACATATTATAAATCACATATTTATAAATGAGAAAGCTAAGGCTCATTTGCACTTATTAAGCCCTATTGTAAGTTACGACACTATAAAAAATGCTATAAATAAAAGTCTCTGGCCACAGTTTAGAAGTGGAGATGGGACACACAAATATTTTGCAGCCAGGTGGTGAGTGCCATAGAAGAGATCCCATCAAGGCACTCTGGGAGCAGAGAGGATAAAGGATTTCGCTCAAGTAAGAAAGTTTAGGAAAGACTTTTCAGAAAGTGGATATAAAAGTAAGGCTAAAGGATGAATGAGAGCAAAGGCACTTCAAGCAGAAGATACAGAATATGTTAGAGGCAAATTCAGAAGACATGTAGGTGGACCAGTTTAGACACAACTGGATTAGCAGTGGAATAAAACACTAGAAGGAATGGCAGGGGATAAAGTGCTAAACAACATACCAGGCAACGTGGACTGTGCCTGTAGGTTTTCCACTGAAATATTTCAAAACAGAGGTTAACATGATTAAATTTGCATTTCTGAAAGATCATGCTGGCCACAACATGAAGGATGACTGGAGTGTGTGAGATCAGAAGCAGGAAGACCATTTAGCAGATAAATTCATCTCTCCTCAGCAATATTCAAGTGAGCTCTGGTGAGGGAACAAACTGAAAGAGGGAATGGACAGGGAAGTGGTTACAGAGGGAGCCATAATAGAACTCAGTGATCCCTGCATATCTGAGAGGGGGCGAGCCATCTGCTCTAAGCAACAGCCAGCACAGTTTGAAAGGAGGGTTAAAGGTTTAGGAAAGCAAGTGCGAGAATTAGGAAAGATATTGACAAAGGGTCTAGTTTAAATCAGAAACCTGGAGTTTGTGATGATACTAAGCCTAATAGCAGTGCAGGGCAGACAGAGAGACATAGGCTGGGGATTTTCAGAGCCATGTGATAGACGGGCAAAGGGGACATGCAGTTTAGAGTACTAGTGAGAGATGGTTAAAGGGACTTTCATTCAATGTCAGAAGTATAACAGCTATTAACTATCTGGAGAGAAATTTTGTAAAAGCTATAAAATATTTTAATGACATACCTCTTTACTCTTAAATTCCATTTCCAGGAATTTATTCTATAGAAATACATGCTAAGTATACAAACATACACACAAACACTAACACTGATGGTCAGTGCCATTATGTTTATGAGAACAAACAATTAGAACCAACTGAAATGTCCATCAGTATAGATGTGGATATGGGTCACCCATATAAGAAAAATCAAGCAGTCATTAAAATAAAAAACGGATATAAATGGTCTGATATATATTCAAGTAAAACATACATTAAGTGCAAGGGGACAAGGGGAACACTTTTTGCAGAACAGCAGAATAAAGCAATAGGGAGATTAATTCCATTTTTTTTTAGGGGAAAAAAAGGTGTTATACTCACCCATACATGATTGTTTATAGAGAAAAATCCAAAAGGTTATATACATCAAATTATTAATAAGATTGGGGAAAATAAATTCTTTTATTTATTTTTTAAAATTTATTTTGTTGTTGAAAATATACACAGCAAAACAGACACCAATTCAACAGTTTCTACAATTCAGTGACACCGATTACCTTCCTCGAGTTGTGCAACCATTCTCACTCTCATTTTCGGAGCTGTTCCTCCTACATTAACATAAACTCACTGCTCACTAATGATCCTATCTAATCTTTTGAGCTGTATTTGTCACTTCAATCCCTTAAAAAAGCATAATTCTCGGATGGATAGATAGGTGGACAGGCTAAACGATTAGGTATATCTATGAAATAGGGAGTGTATCCAAGATCATATATAGGGTTGGCAGACAATGGTCCTATAAGTTTATGTGAATGATCAGAATCCCCAGGTATATAGTAGAGCTGACAAGGGGCAAGGTTGTGGTCACTGCTTGGTCACAGCCAGCTACCCAGAGCGACTGAGTAGTTGATCCTGTGGCTTGGGACCATAGTCACAGGGGACCTCAAGCTCAATTGGCATAACATACTATACAAAACATTGTTCCACCTCCTACTTTGGTGAGTAGCGACTGGGATCTTAAAAGTTAGCAAGCTGCCATCTAGATGCAACGATGGGTCTCTCCTCGTCCAGAGCAAAGAAGAAAGAAGAAAACCAAAATTAAGGGAAACAATCAGTCCTCACGACTGGTACACCATCCGATCTGAAACCTATGCAACTATGAGACCAGAAGAACTAGATGGTGCCCGGCTACCACTGTCATCCACTTGGAATGGATGTAGGAGATCCTGCATAGAGAGGGAGAACAATGTGGAACAAAACTCAAAATCATTTGGAGGGAAAAAAAAAGATGGTTGGGACCAGGTTTGCTGGTACAATAGAGCCTGGTAGAACCACTGAGACTATGGCCCCTAGCTGCCCTTCAGGTCTGGAATTGAACCCACACCTGTGGTTTCCAGCCAAACAAAGTACAGGCATGTGAGTTAAACATTTACCTCAAGTAGACACACGCCCTGGAGATAACAATCATGGGAGAAGGAAGGGCTGCTTATGCACGGGGAGACAGCTCAGGGGGCAGGAGAGTATGGAGGGATGGACACTGGGAAGTGGTAACTATGGGGAGGAAGTGGGAGGGGAGCTATTGCATTGTGGTAAACTGTGGTCAAAGACATGAGACAAAGTATATGTGAACTGCTGTATAGAAAGTGAATTTGCTCTGTAAATCTTCACCTAAATCACAATAAAAAAAAAAAAATGAAAAAAAAAGGCATAATTCTTAAGGCAAACATTTTTTTACTAGCTAAACTAAACTAATGTTTGGTTTTAAAAGACTTTCAGGGGATATTTTTGAAGATTATCCCAGGGCAACATTTTCAGGGGTTCATCCACCACCTTTGGCTTCAGAAAGTCTAGAGTTCATGATAATTTGAAATTCTGTTCTGTATTTGGTCCCTTTTAATCAGGATTTCTCTATAGAATCTTTGATCAAAATGTTCAGTAATGGTGGCTGGCACCATATGGTTCTTCTGGTCTCTTGGCAAAGGAAGGAGTTGTTCATGGCACCAATTAGTCACATATTCCGTATCTTCCTACTATTCCTGACTCTCCTTCTTCCTCTGTTGCTCGGGGTAAACAAAGATCAATTATTGTGCTTTGGAAGGCCACTTGCAAGCTTTTAAGATCCCAGGCACTAACAATGAAGTAGGAGGTAGAGCAGAAGCACTAAACATGTTATTAAGGCAGTTAACTGGGATGTCCCATGAAACCATGACCCTAAACCCCCAAACCAAGGACCCAAATCCCACAAGGTATTTGGCTGTACATAAGCACCCTCAGCAGCTACTCTTGTTATTGCTGCTGTTGTTGTAAATATATCACACTTTTGCCAGTTCAGCTTTTTACAGGTGTACAATTTATTGACAGCAATCATAGTAACTGGCTGTGCAATCCTACCCTTAGTCGATGTGATTTTTACATCACTCTTAACCCTTCTGTCCACTCCTTCATGCCCTTGGTAACAGTTACTAATGAATTTTGGTCTCTATACATTGGCCTTTTCTTGTCTTTTTATATAAGTGAGGCCATATAATAGTTGTCCTTTTATGATTTGACTTACTTCACTCAACTTATCTTCTAATTCCATCCACATTGTACCATGTATCAAGACTTCATTTCCCCTACTGGCTGAGTAGAATTCTATTGTGTGTATGTACCACATTTTGTTTATCTATTCATCTGCTGATGGGCATTTAGGTTGTTTCTACCTTTGGCTACTGTGAATGGTACTGCACTGAACAACAGTATACAAGTCTGTTTGAATTTTTGCTTTAAAATTATGGGTATATACATAGGAGTGGAATTACTGGGTCATATAGTAGGTCTGGGAGCTCTGGTAGCATAGTGGCTTAAGGCACTTGACTGCTAACCAGAAGGCTGGCGGTTCAAACCCACCAGCCACTCCTCAGAAGGAAGATGGGGCAATCTACTTCCGTAGTGATTACTGCCTAGGAAACCCAAGGAGGGGTTGCTATGAGTCAGGTCTGACTCGACGGCACATAACAACAACAACATGGCACATAACAACAACAACATAGTAGGTCTATTTTTAATTTTTTGAGGAACTACCACCCTGTTTTCCAAAACAGCTGTACCATTTTGCATTTCCACCAGCAATGAACAAGGGTTCTAATTTCCCCACATTCTTACCAACTTTCGTTATTGTCTATCTTTTCTTTAAAAAAAAAAAAAAAAAAGAATCTTAGCCATCCTAGTGGGAATGAAATGGCAGGGCTTCAAAGTGGTTCAAAATGGTTAAATCATGGCTGACAAAGCAAAACTGGAATAAACCTGAATTTTTAAAACATGGGTGATCCAGAATCCTAAGTGGAACAAGAAAAATTATGGGTTGAAGCCCTGGAATGGGAGACCCAAAAGGGCTGTAGTGAACCTGATGTGTGACAATGGATTACTGCCAAGACTGTGGAGAGTAACAAATATTCAAAGTGGCAAGGTTGGCCAACATCTTTGAGCCAGGCACTGCTGTTTTAGACTCAGTCGATCAAGAGATTTGGTTGCTAGACACACACCCTGCCCTTGTTTTCTAAAAGGGGGATTAAGTTTCTAGCAGGGCTTGAATCCATATTGTTCCTGTTCCAGTCAGCGTTCCAGTTCATCCACACTTTAAAAATCTGGATCCATTCCAGTACCACTTTATCACCCATGACTGAACCAGGTTGAAGCAGTTTGAAACCCTGTGAAATGGTATTTCATTGTTTTTATTTGCATCTCTCTGATGGGCAATGATATTGAGCATCTTTTCATGTGTTTGGTGACCATTTGAATGTCCTTTTTTGTGAAGTATCTATTCAAGGCCTTTGCCCATTTTATACTTGGGTTGTCTTTTTTATATATATTTTGATTATTACATTTTTAATAGATACATGATTTCCACACACATTCTCCCTATCAGTAGCTTGTCTTTTCAGTTTTGTGGTAAAGTCTTTTGATGAACAAAAGCTTTTCATTTCTATAAGGTCTCATTTATTTATTTTGTCTTTTGCTGTTGGTGCTTTTGTTATTATGGTATATTAGATAATCCGTTGTTAAAATCTAGACCCAACAGCATAGCCCTGCATTTTCTTCTAAGAATTTTATGGTTTTAGTTTACACATTTAGGTAATATATTTTGAAAGTTTTTGTGTACAGTGTGAGACATGGACCTGTTTCATTTTTCTGCATGTGGAAATCCAGTTTTCCCAACACCATTTTTTGAGGAAATTCTTCTTTTCCCATTGAATAGACTTAGCACCCTTGTCAAAAATCAGTCAACCATAGATGTGTGGGTGTAATTCTGGACTCTCAATTCTATTCTACTGGTCTACGTGTCTAGTGTTACACCAGTTCCAGGTTGTTTTGATTACCCTTTATGTTTTAAAGGAATTCCCTTTTCATTTTATATATTTTGCTTTCCTCTGTTAAAATAACCACATTAATAATTTTAAAATTAATCTTATTTTAAAAAATAAAGGAGAAGTAAAGAATACTGGAATGATGGATATTAGCTAGCTGTACCAGAAATTCTGAAGTAAGCCAGGACAATAGAAGGATTAATTCAAAAAATAAAGGGAACATTCTGTGAATTCCAAAGTACATAGTAACCCAATGCACAAACCCATCAACATCTGTTCCTAAAGAAGCATCTTAATATAATTTTTGTACCCTAAGACATGTCCATTTAAGTAGAAGAAGCAACCAGAAATAATTGCACAGAATTTACCATCAGCTCAAAGGTGACCACAGTGAAGAGTCACCAAAGGATGGTTGTTTTTAAATGTAGTTAACAACAATTAGAACAAAAAGTCCTGAATAAGCTAGTTGCTCCCTTCTGTGAATAGACATTCAAGATGTAGGCAGGTACAAATGGTTCTAAAAAGACATTTTGCCCATCAGAGCCCTTGAGTGTTTTATAAACATCACCAGCTAACTTTAAAAGAGTACAAAATTGACATTTTCATTGGAAGAGAATGGTGCCATTGAATCGAATCCGACTCATAGTGACCCCTCCTTGGGTCTATGGAAGTAGATTGCCCAACCTTCCTTCTGAGGAGTGGCTGGTGGGTTTGAACCGCCAGCCTTCTGGTTAGCAGTCAAATGCCATAGGCACTATGCCAGCAGCACTATGCCCATTCTTTAACCCACTACATTAAATTGCAAACAACTATTTGTAAGTATTAGGCTACATGGGTCCTGCAAAAATAAAACTGAGACCGGCTACAACATTTATTTGCAGATAAATCTTGGAATTTCAAAACTTCACACAGAGGAGCAAACATGGTCTAGCTACCCCTCAGCAGTCAGTAACCAGTAAGCTACCAATGGAGCTACCAAAACAAAGCACTATTCCTTCCACTATCTAATCCAAATCTTATGAAGAAATTGGCATTTCACTGGAAGGGGAAGGGAAAGAGAAGGAAAGATGGCTCACCTCACCATTGTCCAGGACAGCCATGGACGAGGTCTGACCACAGGCAATGCCAACCACCCTCTTAATGTGTAAACAGTTTGTAACTTTTCGAGGAGTTGGCTGATTTGCTGTGGATCCTGATCCCACTTGGCCACAGTTGTTATAACCCCAAGCAAATACCTGTATTAAGAGATGAGAAATAGAAAAAGAAATCATAGTAAGGGTGAAAATTCTCCCTTTTACATACAGTAAGAATCATAAAATATAAACAAACCCTCTTAGCGAGCACTTAGGGAGTCCCTAGATGGCATAAGTGGTTTGTGGTCGGCTGCTAATTGAAAGGTTGGTGGTTCAAACCCACCCAGTGGCACCAAGAAAGGCCTGGTGATCTGTTTCCATAAAGATAACAGCCAAGAAAACCCTAGAGAGGAATTCTACTCTGTAACACATGGGATTACCATGAGTCAGAACTGACTCAAATGACAACTTGCTTGGTTGTGTTTTTTAATGAATACTTGTAATGTGCTAAATGGCTCTAAATGTGTCACATGCATTAAACTATTTAATCTTTACAGTAATCCTTTAAGATGACCCTGGGGTAGATATTATTATCATCTCCAATTTATATAAGGAAACTGGTAAGTGACTTACTTAAGGTAACACATTTCATGAGTAGTAGAAGCGGAATTTGAACCCAAAGCAGTCTGGTTGTACTCTTAACCACTATGCTCTATTGTCTCTATAATTATGTCAGCTATTTTTTTTTTTTTTTAATCTGCACCAATAGGAAATAAGGCATATACCAGGTAAGTATCAACTATATATAGTTCTCTGTCATAACACAGAACTCACAAGTGCTAAGGAGACAAGTCCTCATAACACCTACAGAAAGGACACCACATTGTCAGGTTTTTCCTGGTGATATTTTCTCTGAGCTCTCATTTGCTGTCTGTCTGTCTATCAGCTTCAAGCAATCCCCATCCTTAGTTTTGGCCTATTATCTGTAAATAACCTGAAAACCAAAGATTCCTAAGGGAGAGGAATACAAAGAGATCTCTAAGCTAGTTAAAAACTATTAACAAAGATGAAAAACAAAATAAAAAATAACTTCCAGCTAATTAGCTAATGATCCTACCAAATAGGAGTGTGGCCAGAGAGATTAGAGGGCAGGGCGTAAAGCTTTGGCAGTACAGAAAGTTTTTAAGGAGCCATGCTTCACTTGCTGACAGGAAGCTGCCCTCACCCACTTCCATAATTCTTTCTTTTCTTTGTCAGCACTTCCTATCTCATTTCATATGTCTGATGTAGCCTCAATGGCAAACAAGAGTAAAACCCACTGTTGATGCATTAAAAGGGTATGTGCTAGAGGTCCGTTTCACAGGTATACAAAAAATAACCTGCAACACTTCCTGGAAGTGTATTCACAGGGACATCTAGTTTAATAATGAAAACATTTAGCACAATTATGCAAAGTAGCATATGCTTAAGGTTAAAATAAGGCAGGCATCCAACCTATAAAAATTAGCAAGTTCTGTCTAATTTCAACAATCTGTCTTCTGGTACTTCTTCCCAAATACCTTAAGCTTCCTTAAAATGCAGCTGCCATTTATTTGAAAATGGGGAGTATGGTTCTAGCTAAGAAATAGATTATGAAACAATGGATTCTGGGCATATGACCTGTATGCTTGGCCTGGGTTCAGCCAGCATATCCCAGCCACAAAACCTTGGGCAAGTTGCTTGATCTCTGAGTTTCTTTGGCTTCCTCATCTGTAACCTGTTCTACTTACTAAGATCACTGTAACACCACTGAAAGTGAACAATATGATCTAGTTTGCATTTTAGAAATCACAGAGAAGTAAGATTAGACAGGTAGACTCATTAAAAAGCCACTGAAGATTAAAAAAAAAGAGAGAGAGAGAGAGACCATGGCAAAAGTCCAGGCAGAAGATGATGAGGCCTGACCTAAGATGGACAGAGATGGAGAGGAAAAGAATGAAGTGAGAGATTCCAAGGCAGAATCAATAGGATGAATGACCTTTAAGATAAGCATGAAATGTGAGTAACTAGAATTCTAAGTAACTAGAATATTGGTGAGGTGATCCTCTACAACAGAGAATTCATTACATCTACTGAAAAACAAAATAGACCTTAAGGGATGGAGCCATAAAAAACCAATGTACACAACACTGTCATACACATCTGACTTGCAGTCTTAGCAAAGAGCATGAGACTCAACTGCCTTAAGACTGGCTTCTACTGTCATCAAGAGTGATCCCAATCACATAAGTTGTGATAGAGAAAGAGTGTGTTCCTACAATGTTTTCAGATACATTGTGTTGTTGTTGCTATGTGCCATCGAGTCGGACCCGGACGACCCCTCCTTGGGTTTCCGAGGCAGTATCACTACAGAAGTAGATTGTCCAACCTTCCTTCTGATGAATGGCTGGTGGGTTTGAACCGCCAGTCTTCTGGTTAGCAGTTAAGTGCCTTAGCCACTATGCTACCAGAGTTCCTTCAGATACACTGTATCAAGCACAAATATGGTTATTATTTTATTGGTTAAAAGCAGGGCACTTACCTCTCCATCAGCTGCCAGAGCCATGGAATGATGTGAGCCACAAGCTACTTCAACCACTTGTTTCATCAGGAGATTGGTACAGACTTGGATGGGAGCAATGCCTTGGTTGGTCGTCCCATTCCCAAGCTGACTATATCCATTGTGGCCCCAGGCATAAACAACTCCATCTATGCAAAATGGCCACACAAAGAATTAGCTCCAAGAAGCAAAAGTAACCCTTGTCTTTTTTTTTTACCAGAACTTTGCACAACTCACATTCCAATATTCATTTTTCTTATATTGCCCCTTCCTCTCTATAAAGTAAGCACTGACTGGGGGCAAGGAAGTGAGGGATAGAGGAGAGAAAAAGATAGACAGACACGAAACCTTTAAGGAAAGGACTTCCTTCAGTATTAGAAAGATCAGCTTTCAGTCAGAAATCAAAGTTTATATATACAAAAATTGGACTTCCTAAATACTCATCTTAATAGTTTTTGTTTCAAGAACCAAGCAAAAGGCAGAAGATACTGGAGAATTCAAAACTAACCTCTACCATCACTTTACCAAATACCCAATCGCAAAGAACCCTTGGGATGTGTGTGTGTGTGTGTGTGTGTGTCTGTCTGTCTCACAAAAACTCATTCACAAAGTACAGAGAAAAGAGGTGTATTATTTGCAAGAGAAACAAAAATCACAGAGCTCTCCTGAGACAGACTGTTTTAATCACATGAAATTTGGTGGCTTTTTTTGTAATTGACTTTATTTTTTAGTGATTCTGATAGAGGTAACTTTTCTCTGCATTGTGTCCTTTAATACTGTTTCACACCTCTTCCCCCACAGCACACCTGAGTAACCAGAACAGGTCCCCTAAGCGTATCCATTCTTCTCATGCCTTTCCCATGGTTATAAAACATCCTGATCTACTATGGACAATACCAACTCAGCAACAACAGATAGCCAACAGCAACAGCAAAAACCTGAGGGTTATTGTTCGTTTGCTGGCTCACTGACAATAATCCCTGAAAAACCAGGAGAAAGGTTGTTAGGTGTCAAGTTGATTCTGACTCATAGTGACCCCATGTGACAGAGGATAACTGTCTCAAGGGTTGGAAGGGTATGGAAAATTTATAACCTTTGTGCATTGCTGGTGGGAATGTAAAATGATACAGCCAATGGGGAAAATAGTTTGGTGGCTCCTCAAAAAGTTGAAAATAGAATTACCATATGACACTACAATTCTACACCTACGTATATACCCAAAACACTTGACAACAGGGACTCAAGGATACTTGTACAGCAATGTTCATTGTCGCATTATTCACAACAGCCCAAAGGATGTTGGTAACAATCCAAGTATCCATCAACAGAAAGATAAACAAAAGATGGTAGATACATACAATGGTGTATTATTCAGCCATAAAGATAAATGAAGTTCTGATACATACTATGACATGGATGAACCTCGAAAACATTATGCTGAGCAAAACAAATCAGACATAAAAGGACAAATAATGAAGTATCTAACTTGCATGAAATATCTAGAATAGGCAAATGCATAGAGACAAAAGTTCATTTATGGTTACCAGGTGCTGGGGGAGGAGGGAACGGGAGTTATGCTGAACATTATGCTAAGCAAAACAAATCAGACATAAAAGGACAAATAATGAAGTATCTAACTTGCATGAAATATCTAGAACAGGCAAATGCATAGAGACAAAAGTTCATTTATGGTTACCAGGTGCTGGGGGCGGAGAGAACGGGAGTTATGCTGAAGAGGCACTGAGTTTCTGTTTGGGGTGATAGAAAATACACAGAAATGGATAGTGGTGATGGTAGCACAACATGATGAATGTGATTAATGTCACTTAATTATACACTTAGAAATGGTTAAAATGGTGACCTTTGTTATATAAGAAAATTGAAACATATTAGGAAAAAATTGAATCCTCACGTCCCAATGATGACAAGCTGACCCAGCCAGTAATGCAGTAACTGAAAGGGCCAGTGCAATAGCAGAAAGCATTATTACACAATGCAGGAGTGAGATCATCACCTCATTATTCTCAACACCAGTAGCACTCTCACTAGACAATCATGCTCTGGATCTCACAGTTTAAGAAAGATGCAGAGAACCTGCAGTGGATTCAGATATGAACTAAAAGCAATGAAAAAGCTAGATACTAGCAATGAAAAAGCTAGATACTAAGACCTATGGCAGTATCCAAGGAAGCTATGATTCACAGTCTAGAGAGAGCAGGCCATGAAAGCAGGCCGTATCCCGAATGTCACTCTAGAGGATGACCCAACAAAAAGCTGAGGGTCTCTACTGAAGGAAGAGCAAGCTCTAATGTGCCTAAAATTTAAGAGCAAGAATTCAGGTTATACATAACAAGCTTTGAGAGAGTGGGGGTTTCCCAAAGTGCAGATAAATTACCATAGAAAAATGTATAATGTCCTCATTGGATAGGGCTTAGAGAGGTAAAGCAAAAAGTAAAAGACTCTATCTACCAGTATCCCTCATTCTTTTCATGATGGCACCCTCATATGCCAGAGAATGAGATTTCTCAGATTCAAGATCTAGGAATGACACAAAGAAAAGAAAATCAGTGTTATCCATGTTTACAAAGACGTACTAAGGAAAACTTGAAAGCTACCTTGCTACCACAACCACAGAAAAGTGAGTGTGGAAATGATCACTTCGTTTGTCACAGCTAATCTTTCCTAACTTTACCTAAGTAGTCTAAAACCTCAGATGTTTACCTTATTCCTTCTGGAGTCAACCTGACATGTTTAACTTTTACTGCTTTGTACATTTCCCCTCAGAAATTAAGAAACAAACAATCCAAACTTAATTGATACAGTCTAACTTCCCTTAGGTCAGAATGAACTGCTCAAGTTCCCACATACTGAGAAGCTGGATGTTTTCCCTCTTTACCTTCAGTGCTAAGGAGAACATGTGGTGCACTTCCATAACTAAGGCTTTTAATTTTCTTCCCACATAAGGCTTCCAGCTTTTTGGGTACAAGTGTACTCTGATTATCGCCAGTTCCCAAACAGTTACTATAGTTCAGTCCAAATACAAACACCTAGAAAACAAACAGTTTTGTTTGAGTCATTTGGCCTGAAGTTATATTAAAGATTCCTTTCTCCACTCTGAAAATAAGACATGTTCAAATTCTGTTTGGCAGTTGGGTAGGTTAAGAGAGACTGATAAGATAAAGGTGTTAAGAAAAATTCAACTTCTGCTGACATTAGTTAAGTTTTACAATATTTGGCCATACTATGAAACTCAAAGAGTAGTAAGGGATAGAGTGGTGTTAAATCAAGAAACTGGGGGAAAAAAAGAGAGAGAGAGAGAGAGAGAGAGAGAAATTCTATCAAAGGCAGTCTTTTTCCTAAAACTTCAGGTTCCTTTTATCTCTCTCTTTCGCAAAATGCGTGCTTGGTGCCTTTTTTTTCTCTTCAAAGTGCAAAGCTGAACCCCAAAATAAACCCTAAAACTAAACTTTAAGTTTTGAGAGATTCTTACCTCATCATTTTCAGTAACATATAATGCTTCATTGCCTGAGGTGCCAAAGACACATGCTTTCCGAATAGATGCTATTTCTTGCGGGGAGAGCAGAGTAAAGATTGGCCACTTCCCTACATCCACCATGACTCTGGTTTCAAGCAATTCCTATAAGAATGCCGGCATCTCTGCTGTAACAAACAAGAAGGTTCCAAGAAAAAAAAAATTAAAAGATGCTGTTAATAAAAGTTAACAAAAGCTAATTCAAAACTAGATTATGTACCTGCAAAAAGGGCAAGGAGACCACATGTTCTAACCTCCTCTAATCCCACAAGAGGAAGACAGAATCACCATCAATAGCCCAAGGCCTGTTACTGCAAGGCCAGACATGCTGCCTCCCTCCAGCCGTTTCACCAACCGTTCCTTTCAAAGCACCACCACCTCTCTCCTGGATAATTCACTGCAGTGGCCACACAGAACTCACAGATTATGGGGTTTATTAGGGAAGCACCAGGTTACAATTCAAGTTCAGGAAAAAACGCTCAGTCTCTCTCCCAGCCAAGTCTCTCACAGTCTCTCCCCCAGCAGTGCATGTACCTCAGTGTCTCAGCAATGCATGTCTCTTGCGTCTCTTTCCCAGCAGCACGTGTTTCTTTCCGCAGCACGTCTTCCTCAACCAGCAGTCAGAGAGAGTTTGGCCTCTAGGAGGCCTCCTTTTGAGCCCGGCAGAGCGGTCAAACTAGCCAATCATAGCATCAGAACTCTAAGCACCTGAGAGAGAGTGGGAACCTCCCAGAACATTGTTTTGTGCCACTCCCAACAGAAATACTCCAGGTGGACAACTTTAGCAATCAGGAGCTCCTCAGTTGCTCATAGCAAATCCCACCTTGGAGTTTACAAAGACTTATGGGTAGAAAAGCCACAGTAAGTAATTTATTATACCGCAGTACCTTTGGTTAAATGGATCACATGATTCACCTAGCAATACATCAATCACTCCCCCACCTTTGAACCTGGGCTTTAAATCTAAAGAGAGGAACAACTTGTCAGAACCAGTCCTTTGTCTTGACAGGTCACAAGTTCAGTACTTATGTGGAGCAGTTCTACTCTCCACACATGGGGTGGCCCTGAGTCAGAATCGATGGCAACTGACAACAACAAAAAGAGCCAGAGTCTGTACTCTTCACCACTCTAAGATTATTTTAGAGACCATGTGTTACCCTTTTTTATAAAGCACCTATTTTTTTCTACTGGATTATAATTGTTTTTCTTGTTCCTGGTTTTTAAGTGTTCTTTGTACCTTTTTTCCTTCTTCTTTTTAAGTGTTCTAAAGGAACACTGGTAGTATAGTGGTTAATGCATTCAGCTGGTAATCAAAAGGTCAGCAGTTCAAACCTACCAGCCATTCCATAGGAGTAAGACGAGGCAGTCTGCTTCTGTAAAGATTTACAGCTTTGGAAACCCTATGGAGCAGTTCTACCCTGTCCTACAGTGTAATAATGAGTTGGAATCAACTCGATGGCAGTGTGTTTGGTTTGGTTTTTTTTTTTTTTTTTGTATGTTATGGTTATCCTGAGTGCTTTTAGAAGTAAAACAAATAGATCCACCCACCACTCCTGCCCAACTAGCCTGCCTTGTGCCTCTTACAAAACAGATAGAGAAAGGAATTTTAAGAGAGCAAACAATGTAAATATCTAGATTTGAAGCAGGTAGATAAATTTCAGGAAAATCCAGAAGCACATTTTCCTAGAATTTGTATCACATCAAAGTCTGCTTTCAACATTTTAAATTTTCCATTGCCTTTAAAATTTTTATTTTTACATAATCATAAAGTTAAATTAGCTCAAAATGTTAGATTCACCATCTTTAAAATATAACACAAAGGACTATTATCACTTAATGGTACCACCCTAAAAGACCAAACCCACTACTGTAGTCTATTCTGACTCAGTGATCCTATAGGACAGACTGGAACCACATCATTGGGTTTCCAAGGCTGTAATCTTCACAGAAGCAGACTGCTTCATCTTTTGTCAGGTCTTCCTATATGACTTCTCCAAAGGATTTGGTTACTGCAGTGTAGTAAATTACATAATACGGCATTTCTAGCCATAAGTCTTTATAAACTTCGTGGTGGAATTTGCAGTGAGCAACTGAGTAGCTCCTGATTGTTAAAGTTGTTCACCTGGGGTATTTCTATTGGGAGCAGCATGAAGTAATTTTCTGGGAAGTTCGCTTGCTCTCGGGTGTATAGAATTCCGATATTGGGATTGGTTAGTTTGGCCACTCTGCCAGGCTCAAAAGGAGCCTTCCTAGAGGCAGAAAAAAATCTCTCACTGCTGGCTGGGAGACATGAGAGACACGCATTGCTGAGAGAGAGATGTGAGAGACTAGCATTGCTGAGAGAGAGATATGAAAGACACATTGCTGGGAAAGAGACGTGAGAGACACGTGTTGCTGGGAGAGAGACAGTGAGACACGTACTGCTGGGAGAGAGACTGTTGGCTGAGAGACGGCAGGCTGAGAGAGATTGCGCATGTTCCTGAACTCGAATTGTAGCTTGCTACTTCCCTAATAAACCCCATTATCTGTGAGTTGTGTGTGGCCACCACAGCGAATTATCAAACCCAAAAAAGAAGTGTTGAGTGCTGCAGGAGGAACAGTTGGTGAAAGGGCTGAAGGGAGGCAGCATGCCTGGCCTTCCAGGAATAGGCCTCGGGCTACTGATGGTGATTCTGTCTTCCCCTTGTGGGGTTAGAAGAGGTCAGAAGATGGCGCCTCCCTGCCCCTTTGGCAATTATCTACTACAATATGAAGTGAACATTTGCAATAATGGCTTATTATATAAACTGAATTTATCCATTGTAAAATTACCTTAACCTTTATCTTACAAAATATTTTTCCAAAGAATTATAATTTGAAGAGTCAACATAAAAACCAGATCACATATTTTACATGTCCACACTCATCATAGTGAAGGTTGGGCAATCCTACTTCCGTAGTGATACTGCGTCGGAAACCCAAGGAGGGGTCGCTATGAGTCGGGGCCGACTCGACGGCAAATAACAACAACAACAACAACACTCATCATAAAAGAAAAAAAAAATTACCAATAACCTTGGAATCGTGGGAAGAACAGAGTCCAGGGGCCGGTGTTTCACTCCTAGGTTTATTTTTAAACATTGTGAAATGCCACTTACCTCTTTAAGCCTGTGTTTCCAAAAAGTCTGTTCCAGCTCTAAAAATCTATTGTTTTATGTTCTAGGTGTAACTAAGAAGCTATGGGGAATGCCTTGAATGTAAGACAACAAGGGGAGCAATGCTAGCCAAGATACGACTCCTAACAATGAAATCAGGCAAAGTAAATAAATAGAGCAGGAAGGAAGAAAACTAGTAATTTCAAGATCTTGCTATGTCGCAGACATTATGCTAGATAATTTCATATACATTATTTATTTAATCGGGAGCTCTGGTAGCATAGTGCCTAAGGCACTTGACTGCTGACCAGAAGCCTGGTGGTTCAAACCCACCAGCCACTCCTCGGAAGGAAGATTGGGTGATCTACTTCCATAGTGATACTTTGCAAGATCATACTTTCCAAGTGATACTGCCTTGGAAACCCATGGAGGGGTCGCTATGAGTCAGGTCCAACTCGATGACACATAACAACAACAACATTTATTTAATCTTCATAATAATCTTGCCCCAGGGTTACAGGTGAGGAGAGACAA